CTCTTATCAAAGAAACATCGACCACCTCGAGGGCTTGGCGGATAAAAATAAAAACTTTGCATTTCACACTGCGCAACTACTGTCAGTACGTGCGCTTGGCACTTTCGCGCCAAGTGCACTTAACGAAGTAACAAAGTGAAAATTCAGAGGCCACATAAAAGTAAATACTTTTAAAAGCATCACCACTATCCACGTATCCAAGTGTTACGTACACGCTTGTACAGTAAAACGTTATCTCGTAACATTCAGCGGCAAAATCTCTGGATAAATATTAAAGTACGCGGCCGCGCTAAGTCTTTTTATGGCTTCTTGTACGTTGGCACTTTTAACGGCTGTTACTTCTTAAAAATATTCCGAATAGTATATATGTATTTATACATAGGTGGATGCAAGCTAGTTATATATATTGTGACGTGGCATTTCGACATGCACGCCACAAAATGTAACATTCTGCGATTTCCGGCTACATCGTCGGGCCCTATGCTTGGGGAAGGGATTTCGTGGCGTTGGACTGTATATTATCTGTTGAATTTGTATTTATTTCCCTCGTGGGAACGTATTTTTTGTGTTTTATATCTTTCAAGCGGATCCGGAAGGATCTTGTCAAAATTTGAATACCGCGGGCCCCGAGAGTGCCAGTTACGGGCCTGGTGGAGCGCGCTGGCGAGGCGTCGGGACAGCCAGACCGGAGCACACACTCTAAGAGGCCAGCTACGCGGAACATTCGGCGAGCGTCTCCCCGATCCAGAGGGCATACGGAAGTTGCAGTAACGGCCTGGAGCCGTCCATCGAGGGAGCAGAGGTGGATGCGATTCCCACCTCCCGAAAATATCACTGCAGCCATATCGTGAGACCCGTTAGCACTCGTTAACGTTAAATTCTGTATAATATCCTTTGGCTTGTATATTCTGTATAGGAACCGTTGTTTCATTTCTTTCCCTTGTGTATTTCGTTCAGGAACCGTTGTTCCATCTCTTTTTCTTATTGTGTTGAATAAATCGGGCCAGATTGTGGTTCCGTATTTAATTTTGAAAACTTTATTGGTTATTCCTTGTAATTTTTGAGAGTGAACCTCCCTAGATTTCAGATTGCGTTTATTGTCTCCCAGACCCAGGACCCCACCGCATAAGAGCTGGCCAGGGTGTCCTTAGGAGACAGCGGTGTAACTCTGGTTATACCTGGCGCCCAATAATTTGGTATTTTATTAATTATTTCTCGCGATGCCATTTATTTGTGCGTCACCGTTAAAAAGCGTCGTCACAAAATATATATATATATATATACATATATACATATATATATACTTCATTCATGCAGCATCACCTCGCGACCTCATTTTACGAGCACTGTCGCAAGTTGAAAACCCAAAAAGTATCCTCGACCCAGCAATTTGCGTTGTTTCCATGACGGCGACGAGATTTTTCGGTGTAGCTCGAGGGCTAGAAAAACATCCCTTGTACCGACTAGTCAAAAAAAAAGGGGGGGGGTGCGGCGTAGCTTTTTCTAATTGCTCGGAAAGTACAGTCGCGCGCACTGACTTTAACGCAAAGGGAATTTCCAATTGGCGACAGGAAATAAATCGAAGCTTCGTCTCGTACGTGAAACGTCACGTGGCCGTCAGCCATTGTGGAGTCGCATAAAGACGTTAAACGCCCTGATATCCACCCGGCAAAATTTATAAGGGATGATCCGCTCGACCATCCCCTTTGCCATACCTGTGTTCAGCTTATCCGACTATCCAAGCTGGTTGCCAGCTTTGCGACCGTGACTTCGTTTGGGACTTGAGGACCGTCCCTATCGGTTACGATATGGACGCGACCCTTAACGTAAAGCACACAAGGGATGGGTCTATAAAACGGTCGCAAGTCGTTTCTATGAATAGCCAATCTGCATCCGTGACTGCGTTCCGTCCTCGCTCTATATTTCGAGTCCTCGTCACACCCATCCATAGCAGCGTATTCGAGTGCGTCAGTCATGACGTCACGTAGCTAGGCAACCGCACCCTTCGCGTTCGTCAGACCCCCCTCTACGAGTCCTCCCAAACCCCCTTTAATCCCCCTTTGACTAACCCCCTGGAAAAAAAAAAAAAAAATCTTCGACAATCTTATCGCTCGGAGTCGAGTGATAATTTTTTTAAGTGACGATTACGCTTCGAGTCAGCCAGATGAAATGTTTAATCGGCATACAGGTAAGCAACCCCTATTTCGTTGAAATTATTGCTCGCTTCAATTTCTTTAACGCCCTCATAGAGCCCACGTTATTCTATCCAAGGAATCCGCTGGCTAAGGATCGAGCAAAGAGTCGTTTCCACGTGGGCGTTAAGTTTTGAGGGGTTGGTAAATATGAATTTCGAGATGATTATTTCAAACGTGCCGA